ATTCTGGGAGTTGAAAGCTACCAAGGTTGAGTAACCCTGATCCAGCTAAATTGTAATACACACTCCTGTAGCATTGGGAAACTGTCATGAAATAAAGATGGGAGGAAGATTTATACAATCAATTTAGAAGCAGCTTATTCCTCACTTGGAATCCAGATGAAGTCAAAGCTGTCAACAGGCCATTGAAAACTCTGCTTGGGCACCCCAAATTTGTACCCTGTGAAGTTTGAGGGGTGTCTGGGACAGGATAATTCATGGTCTGGATTTAACTTCAGAATCATGCCTGATTGACAGATTGTTTGATGCAGCTACGGGTATCATCAAGTGGTTGACATATCTTGGCCACCCCATCAATAGATTTTTCTCCCAGTGAGGATTCCCAATCCAGCCATAAGGATACAAAATTGGGAATTGCTTCTCTGCAAAGAACCCTGCGAGGCAGGTCACTCGAATCCCAGGCCTGCAAGAAGAAACAATTTGACATTTCTGGGTTGTTTTGTTTTCCTACCTGCCTCTTTAAGCTTTGAGCCAATCTTATTTAAGTGCGAATGAATGTCGCTGAATTAATTAAAATGCAGATGGCTCCCTGACGGAGATCTACTTCTTCAGAGAAAAAGAGATTTTTTTTCTCAAGCTGATACGCCGCCGGTCTAATTCCATCTAGCTGGTAAGCAGTGATTAGCCTCTTTTCAGCATTTCATATCTAAAGGTAATAAAAATCACGCAATAAAAAGTCTTAAGTAGAGTTAGCAAACTTAATGCGTATCAAGCCTAGCTAGTGCAAAATGGGGCTACTGTAAAACTTGGCTGCAAGTTGCAAAGGATGATAGACAAGCCAAGATTCAACTACAGTTTCAATTGTGGCTGCAATTCAACCATGTCCAGTTCTTCTGTTGTGCAACCTGGTTGCAGAGGGTCAACAGATTTGCACCGATGTGTTAACAGGTCAAAAAGCTGTTCAAAGTAAAGGCTCTTATACACATGGTGCCAGTCCACATTAAGAGCAGCGGGGGGGCTGCCAGAATAAGCCCAAAGTTTACTGTTTACTTACTTTTAAGCCTCTAGTCCACCTCAAGGGCAGTAAATATGGCAGAGCTGCAGAATAACGTAAGGAGCCAAAAGTGTATTGCTTACTTACTTCAAGCCTCTAGTCCTACACAAGACACTAGTCCACATGGAGGGCAGCAAATATGGCAGGAGCTGCAGAATAAAGAGCCATTGAAGGAGCCAAAAGTTTACCGTTAACTTTTATCATAGCCATGGAAGGGTCAGGGACTGGCTCTTGGTTTGTGGCCTTGATTGACACCGAATATGAACCCTACTTGGCCCAGTTTGCAACTGGACCGACCCATCAGATAGGTGGAATGTCTACAGGGATCGCTAAATTCCTTGGGAGTTTGGGGGAGGCTTTTTGGGGGGAGACTCTACTACTTTCAAACCAAATTAGACCCCCTACCATGGCACTAACCCCATCCTTGCCCCCTCCTGGATCAAAGCATTTGGCTGTACGTATGTTCCTTGGGGCAGGAACTGCAGCTGGCTTTTGAGTAACAAAAATGGGTTTCTTCGCTCCTCCGAATCTGCCCGTTTAATTCCGTTCCTTGATTCCTCATTTAAACGGCTGGACTTTCTGGACAACACGACGCAAGATAGCCTGGTGCAGTTGGGGGTTGGCAGATCCCCCTAGTTTGGTGGAGATTTTGGAAGGAAAAAAAGGGGGAGAATCTTCCCAGCAGGTTTTGCCATCTTTTGCCCAGATCATCCAGGAAACTTTGCCCGGATGCCAGCATGGTTGAACAGCCGGGTCAGGCTGCTGCTTTGGAGTTTCCGAGTTCCTTATTCTTGTTTTTGTTTTCTTTCAAGCCACTAATGTCAAAAATATATATTTGTTGGGGGTTCCCTTCTCTTCCCCTTCTCTTTCCAATTCTCTTTTCTTTCCCTCTCCTTTTTCCTTCCTCCCTTTTCTTTTCTTTTTTCTTTCCTTTTCCTCCTTCCTTCCCCTTTTATCTCCTTCCCTTCCTTCCTTTTTCTTTCTTTTTCCTTCCTTCCTGCTTTCTTTCTTTCTTTCCTCCCTCCCTTCTTTCATTCCTCCCATCCTTGTCCATAACACTCATTCTGGACCTCTGCAGGTTCACTGACAGCTGCTGGATGCCAAGCATGTCCAAATGTGCCTCCCTCCCTCCTTCTTTTCTCTTTCCTTTTTCCCTCCATCCCATTTTTCCTTTCTTCCTCCCTCCCTCCCTCTTTTCTCTTTCCTTTTTCCCTCCATCCCGTTTTTC